TGAGAGGTGGGGACGACTTGAGTATGAACAAGCTAAGTACTTAGTCTAAGGTTCTAGTAAAGACAATAACTATCTAATATCTCCTTTCTCCTTTCTTTGTTCTCTTCAAATTACACACATGCCCCTATTAAATGCATAAGCTCAGGAATCAGGAAGGATCACCTAGGAACTTGAGAACATTATGCTAAGTAAAATAAGCCAGTCACAACTACTGTACGATTCCACTCATATGAGGCATGTAGAGTAGTCAGATTCATAGAGACAGAGGGTAGGAAGGTGGTTGCCAGGGGCTGGGGGGAGGGGAAAGTGAGGAGCTATTGTTTAATGGGAATGGATTTTCAGTTTTGCGGGATGAAAAAGAGTTCTGGAAATGGATAGTGCTGATGTTAGCAAAATGATGTAAATGCACTTAGACACTTAAAGCTATTGAACTGTTCACTTAAAAATGGTTAAGATGGTAAATTTTATGTTATGGATATTTTGCCACAATTAAAGCAAAAGAATAATGAAGGAGAATCTAGCTTTTACTCCAAAAGTTGGAAAGCTTCTGTTTTAGACTAACTCCCAGCAGTACCTTACATTTGTATCATGGTTGGCACTTTCATATGTATATCATGTCATTTGCTACTAAGACAACTCTGTGAAGTAGAAAGCATGGCTGTAATCATTATCCCCAACTTTAAGTTTGAGGGAACCTGAAACTCAGCTGGATTAAGTGACATGTCTGTGATCCCAGACCTGGTCAATGACGCTGGAACTTGAATTAATGAACGTTCAATGCTTTCCTAGGTGTGACCTTCAACTTTTATTCTGATCTGCGATCCATGGTGGCACCAACACTAAGATGCAGATTTTTCTAAAAACCCTTAAGGGGAAGATCATCACTCTCTAGGTTGAACCCCTGGATACAATAGAAATTGGAAAGGCCGAGATTCAGCATAAGGAAGGAATTCCTCCTGATCAGCAGACTGACCTTTGCTGGCAAGCAACTAGAAAATAGATGTGGTTTGTCTGAATACAGCATTCAATAAGAGTCCACTCCTCAGCTTGTGTTGAGACTCCGTGGTGGTGCTCAGAAAAGGAACAAGCTTTACATCACTCCCAAGAAGAATAAGCATAAGAGAAAGAAGGTTAAGCTGGCTTTTTTTTTTTTTTGAAATACTATAAGGTGGATGAGAAAGGCAAAATTAGTCACCTTCATCAGGAGTGCCCTTCAGATGAATGTGGTGCTGGGGTGTTCATGGCAAGCCACTTTGACAGATATCATTGTGGCAAATGTTATCTGACTTACTGCTTCAACAAACCAGAGGAAAATTAATTGTGCATGAATTAATAAAAGACATAAACTAACCAAAAAAAAAAAAAGAAAGAAAATGAATAACAGAATTGGACTGCCAGCCTGAGGAGTAGGAGTGAGGACGAACCTGTAGGTCTGCGGACCCTGGAAGTTACCTGTCCCAGTGTAGAGACAATGTGCCTGAGATTTGGAGGCTATCTCCATCAAGGATATCCTAAACTTGGGTAGGAATTCTGCATGAAAAAGCTCAACCATGAAGAATAATAAGAGCTTCTACCTTGTGACTCATTCATCCCTTTCGTTGTAAAACCCAGGTAGAATAAGATGGAATTTTTCTCTCTGTCTTAGATCACTTAAACTTGTGTTTTTTCTCTGGCTTAGAGGAGAGAGAATGCTCTAAAATGTCATTTACATATTTCTGGATAGTATAATATGATGCATGAAAATACTTAAAAAGTACAGTGTGTGTGTGTGTGGGAAATGATTGGGCATATATGAGAACCAAGATTTGCCATGAATGATAATTATTGAGACTGGTTGATGGGTACATCAGGATTCACCATGCTTACTACTCTTTTTATATAAAGTTAGAAATAGCAATTCTCTAAGTGTTTTCTGTGGGACACTCTGGGAAAAGAAAAAGGGGAGGTAGATGCTGTGGTCAAAGTTTAAGAAATACAATCTACTACATCTCTTCTTTGAAAGCCACAGTACAAATTAGCATATTGAAGACACTGAGAAGCAGTGAATTAAAGAGACCCTTTAATACAGTTTAACCCATCTTCTGTTCCCAAACCTGACGACTATTGAAACCCATTTTTCCCCATGCAACACCTGTTAGCAACTTCAGATGAACATTTTGTGAGACATCCTTTGGCTGATCTGTTTTAAAAGATCATGTTGTGACTGTTTATGAGAGAGAACAAAAACCAAGGATAGTTTCCTGCTCTTTCTGCCAGTGTTGGAGCTAGCGGGACTGAAGCCATGTTGGCACCTAAAACCACACATGTTGTAGGCAAATTTAAAAATTTTCTTGGCATGCATTTCTCTTAGTTCCCTCTTTTCCCATGGTTATTTGATATTTTGAAGTTGGCTATGGGACGAGATTATTGATATGAATGTAGTTTTCCAGCCAGCCTGAAGCTGCAGACTCACACATATTACCCATACCCTGACATAAGGATGGGATCAGAAACCAGATGGAGTCTTGGTGAGACTTTGCACCTGAGACCTTGAATGAAGCCTTCACTGCTCATGTGCCTCTCTTTCCTGCTTTTCATTTTCCACATTCCATTCCCTCAACCTCCTCTTTAAAAACCCCTCAGTAAACCTAAGTCTTTGAGATGGCTTTAGCCTGGCCATTGTCCTTCAGGTTTATTGGGGAGATGTGTATACCTAACATCACTCCTCAGGTCACTTGTATTCCTGAATAAAAGCTGACTTCCATTTTCACCAACATTTGACTTTTGGGTTGTTTGGTTTTTTTTTGTCTGGGGGCAGGCAGCCAGACCTGTGAATTTGATATCAATTTTGGGGAGCCTCAGCCAGGAGCTGAGTGTGCTTGGTAACACAAAGAAAAGCTTTTCAAAATTGGGAAAGATCTATTTTTCTTGGATCACAGAGGAAAAGGAGGAAATCACCTGCTGATCCTGAGTCAAGCTAATATAGCAAACCTTACAGGGGAATCTTAGACCAGCTCCATGTACTAGATTATACACACAAAGCAGGAACAGACTATGTCTAGTGACTGAGGGTGTGGGCCTCTGGGATCAGACAGCCTGGGTTCAGATCCTCCAGCTGTGTGACCATGGGCAAGTTGCTGAACCTCTTTGTGCCTCAATATTTTTCATCTATGAAACAGGGATAATAAGTCTTATAAAACCTTATAGAACGGTTGCCAGATTTAGCAAATAAAAATACAGTATGCCCAAGTATTGCACAGGACATACTTATACTGAAAAATTATTCACTGTTGATCTGAAATTCAAATTCAATTGGTCATCCTGTGTTTTATCTAGCAACCCTACTTAAGAGGGTTGTGAAGAAGATTATGTGACATAATCCATACTGAACTCTCAGAACAGTGCCTGGTATATGATAAGCACTCAATTAACTATTGGTTATTATCATTAATATTATAATTTTAATCAGGGGCATCCTTCTTTTATTCTGGTTCTCTTAATAATTTTCTAAGGATTTACCTGGGTATATAATTTAAACATTTATAGTCAAATATTCTCTTTAATCAATAAAACGAAGAAAGGATTATCTTCTGGCTTAAGTCCTTACATGTAAGTTTTTTTGTAAGGGCCAAAATTGATGCATTAAGTTGCCTTTCATCTATTTTAATGGAAGGAAGCCATGGTCGGAAAAATAGTTGACATCAACTCTGTGCTATACTTGTTAATTTTTTAGTTCCAAGAGAGCTACATTTGTGTTTTGGTTTTCCTTAGGGAAGAACTAATTTGTAGCTCCTGAATATATATTTACCAGGAGTGGAGAGGGGCAAAGGAAACTCGCAGTGATCTGGTAGCCTGGACTGAAAGTAAAACATGCAGGAGATAATCCCCTACATGCAGTTAACAGAGAGTTCAAGGAGGATTGCCACTCAACCAGCTTGTCACAGGTTTACAGTTTCTCTGATTTACTCTCTATCATCGTTGACTTATGACCTAGTGAAGATTTATTGGACTACGGATCATGATTTACATAAACATACTATTATCAGATTTTCTGTAGAAAATAAAGAGAGTTCCAAATATACCACATGGAGAAAACAGGAACTTCATGTTTAATTTTTAAGTAAAGGATGACCTTCCAAATTATAAAAATAATTTTTGAATATTCTTACAGAGAGAAAATGTACTCATTTATCAGTCCACTCTCACTATATCAAACAAAAAATGTGGGGAATAAGAAGAGAGTGAGAATCTGTGAAAGACAAGGGAGGCTTAGAGGCAGAGAGAGAGTGTGAAGAGAGAGTAAAGAGAAATAGATACAGAGACAGAAAATCAAAGACTCCCACAGAACACGGTAAATCCCCTTTGCTTTGCAAACCCTCTTTCCATCTATTTTGCAACAATGCCAACAGTTTATTTTCTTTCCCTGACATCATTTATTAGCGACCCCTCCTTTCTTTTCATAACTTGTTACACATACTATGGTTGGGAAAAAAACGTAATTTCAATGTTTAACTAAATCCATATATCAGGAAGTCATCCTAACACTGACTTTAATTTCGCTTTTATGCTTCATAAGCTGCTGACAAATATTTATTCCAATTTACTGATATCAAAAGGGGAAGGGACTACTTAATTCAGAAAATTATTGTTTATTGGTTTGCAAACAAATAATCATTACATTGAATGAAACCAGTTGAGCTCCTGGTATGTAAACAGTACCAGCTCCTGTGGCTGTCAAAAGGAACCTGAATTCAAGGTACTTGTAGAGTAAGTAAATAAATAACATAAGCCAAGGCAAAACAAAACAAAACACACACAGACAAACACAAAACCTTTTTGCCAGGACACGTTAGGTCTTCATTAAGAGGAACTTGCAAAACTTGATTATTCACTTTCTGAGTTTGAACAGAGCCTGGTCTCCCAGAGACAACACAAGGGTAAAACGAAACCTGACACTTGGCTTTTCAGACCTTGTTGGTAACACAGTTTTAAGGGAAAAGCAGTGAGAAAGGTCTACTTACCAATGTCACGAACTTCAACTCCTTGGCTAGCACACCTCGGTCTAGCCAGCAGGAAAGCAGAAGAAAGAAGCCAAGGCTCAGGCTTGCTGCCCTGGCCATGAGGCAGGGGGCAGCTCCCATGCTGGGGAGAGCTGTTTCTGGCAGGAGTTAGGAGGTGCTGCTTCCACTTCAAAAGCCTTCAGAGGGGAAGCTATTTAACCACGGGATTGAAAGGGAAGGAGGAGCCACACTCATAAATAGTAAAATTTCCAGGAAGCTTGGGGCGGGGTTAGGCATGTAATAATGTCATATAATTTTTGAGCTGGGAGTTAGAGATCACTGTCTCCTGGATTTAGGTTAGGACGCTGAGACCCAGAGAGGGGAGAGCTGTTGTTCAAGGTCACAGAGCATGTCAGTAGACATTTCTCTTTTTGTTTTCAGTTTACCTTTGTCTTTTCTTTCTTTTTTTTTTTGTCTTTTGTCTTTTTCCGTGTCCAGCAACGGATCGCAACCCTCAGTGTTGCCCCCGTACCGGACCGGGGACCCTCGGCATTGCTCCCGCGCCTCGCTCAGCCAGTGAGCGGGAACCGGTCTGTATGTGGGATCCGAACCCTCGGGCGGGAGCGCCGCCGTGCTTCCCAAGCGGCGCACTTATCCAGTGCGCCACCGGGCCGGCCCTACCTTTGTCTTTTCTTTAGATGGGGGTGTAATACAATGTTGGCTTTGTTGCTGTCACTTGGGAAAGGAATCTGTTCTGATTTCAGAAAACTTAGGCCAGCTATTCTTAAACTTTTGGAAATCCAGAATTGTAGGAAGGAAAGTCTGGAAGAAACTGCAGGTATTGACATATTTTGGGCCTATTCCCATCAAAAACTAGCATCTTTTTGTAAAACTTTCATGTAGCCTATAGAAGTGTTTTTAAATTAAAGTAAGAGCAACTTTATTTTGGATATTTTTAGTTACACCTTAAGACATTTGAGGATCACCTGTGATATCTCAACATTAGGATTTGAAGTCCCTTTCCAAACCTCACACAGTTTAAACAACAATCAAACCTACAGCTGTACATTGTCAGTCATCAACTTTGGCAATAAGCCTTACATTCTAGGTGAGTCACACCCTCGCCTCTGTAGCTGTGATCTCACTGGGGACACTACAAACGAAGATGATCTGGACAGAGAGAACTTAGCCTTTCATTTTTCCCAACCTGTCAGTCCCATCATAGGCTAAAACAATACAGACTTGAGGTACTCACTGAGATTTTTCAGGATTTTTGGGCAGCGCTACTGATCATGATGCTTCCACCGCAATGGCAGAGGGAGAAGTATGGCTTTCCCACAACCTGTTCTCGGTACATTGCACTTACCTGTGACAGGAGCATTCTGTTGTTATGTGATCTAGGATGCCCTGGAATGTGCTGTGTGGGAGAGCTGTTGCTCCTTCTGGAATGGGGAAATGTGAGAGAAGAATTAATGCATATGTGGTTAGGACTAGACACCTAAGGACTTGTGACCTTCTCTCTGCTGTGTTCTCCTCTTGCCAGTCACCACTGTCATTTTTAATGGGAAGGATTTTGAGGAGATGGGTGCAAGGAAAAGGGAATGAAGATTGTCCAGTCCTAGGCAGACATGAAGTTGCACACTCATCCCTGCTGCCTGCACCAGGCAAATTGAGAAAGGAAGCTCTGGCACTTACTTATCATTCACAGGCTTAGTTCTGAACAACATTCCTTAAATTTCACCAGACACTTGCTCTGTTGAATGTCTTATTTTCACGGTTATCATCCCGGCTCCTTGTTCTCCTGTCTCCTTCCTTATCTCACCCTTGGATTGATCCTGGAACTATTTTAGCAATAGCCTTAGTCCTTCTTGATGGTAACTCTGGTTCTCTCTATGCCATGTTGCACTGGTTGGATAAATCCTTTTTCTTACCCAGACCCTATTTTTCCTGTGGTAACTTTTCTGGGCTCCTTTTAGCCCTCCAAATGAGATAACAATGGCAACAAAGTTTTCTTAGAGAGAGAAGCAGAAAAAGGCTGCTTGGATTGAATACATCTAAACTCAAACTTAATTTGAGTTGAATTAAGTGGATGGTTTATACTTCTATCTCAGTCATCCTAACTTCTACTTTGATCATCAAGTTATAAGAGGAGGAGGAGGATTCAAGATCATCACTGTAGAGTTTTGAAAAACCGGAACACCATAAAATTGAGTCTGAAAAATCCTCAACAGAGATGAAATCCTTTTTAGAATCTTCTGTAGCCTCTTGAATCTTGAACTCATAAGTCCTTTGCAAAGACTTAAGGGTCTTCTGGAATAAATGTATGGATATAGCAACTTCAAAAGTGAGACTTGAAAAAATATTGAGATTTTTTTATATAAGAGTGAAAGGCATTAGTAATTTTCCATATCTAGTAGAACTGACTGGCTGAATCACCTGTGTTTCCATCTTTCTTCATGTGCCAATTGTTCAATCTCCAATTAACACAGTGTTAGATGTTCCATTAATGAATAAGTTTGAGTATTTTTGGAAGGTGACTCCCAGATAGAGATTTGCATGTAGGAAGTTTATTAGGGCATGCTCTTAGGATCAACAGCAGCAGGGGAAGGAGAAATAAGCAGAGTTGAACAGAAAGAGAAGTTGGACCTCAACACAATATGAGTGAAGGCCTCAGCTGACCCTGCTAGGAGTTCTGAAGGTGGGATGGCTTTTTGGAGTTATCCTGAATTAGGATGAGGGAGCCAAACCTTTTTACCCCCGCATGAGCCAGTCATTGGATGCAGTCTGCCCCCAGTAAGGTGAAGGTGGCTGTCTTCTGCCATGGCAATACTCAAAGGGGTTGTCAGCTGAATGATGTCAAACAACAAATTTCTTTCTTTTTTTTTTTTATATTCAGGTTGCTTTAATTCACGATATTCATATTTCAGACCAAAACTTATTTCTATCAAAGTTCCAGATTTAATATATAATTTTCAAATAATCCACAATAAATATTTAAAATATGTATCCATATTACTTTGTTTCTAAAGCCAATGTCAAACAACAAATTTCTAAGAGCTGGAGAGAATTAATGCTTCTGTTCATGAGGGGAGATCTGGGTAGCATAACAGAATTCATGACAATAAAAAAAATTTATAGGAAAAAAATTCACGGTCTTTGGTAGATCAAAGACTCTGAAAGCACTAAAAGTGCCTCTGGGTTGAAACTGAGAGCCATCAGTAGGTATATGGCTGTTTACCAGGTAGGAAGGCTGTGTTTAGCCTGTCTGGAATCTATGGTCTTCATAACTGGCTTATTTGGAAGGCACTCAATAATATCAATTGAACAGCTGTGAATATAAGGGCAAATTATTACATCAGAGCCTTGTTACAATGTGAGCTGCTTTGAGGCAAAATTTAATGTGTGATTCCATTTGTATTAATGTCCAGCACGGGGAAATCTTAGGTGACAGCAAGTAGTTTAGTGAATACCTAGAGCAGGGAGAGGAAAGGATTGGGGAGTGATGGCTAAAGGGTATGGGGTCTCTCTTTGAGCTGCTGAAAATGCTCTACAGTTGATTGTGGTGATGTCTGAATTGTTGACTTTAAATGGATGCATTGGGGAAACCAGGAAGAACTTCTCCCTGTGGGGAAAAAGTAAGCAAGAAGACCCCAGCAGCCACTATCAACACCTTGGACACCTACAGTCCACATCACTGGGGACCCTGGCAGTCCTCACAGGCACTAAGCTCACCTGAGGGAGCTCCTGGAATCCACACAGCTGTGCTCCCCCCAGAGGAGCTGAAACTGTGCCCCGCCCTCTGTGTCCCAGATGGCTACTGCACTATGTCATCTTGGAACTGAAACTAGAGGGTGTCTTACCCAGGGAATGAATGACACCCTTTCATCCCAGAAACTAAGCTGCCATTGAACTGACTTCCCCAAACCCAGCTGAGAGCAGCTGTTACACCCTACCCTGAAGGGCTGCGCAATGATATACAGCCACTCCATCCCCTTCTCCCAGTTACTGCTGTGCTCCTCCTCTCAGGAAGATGCACACCCCTTCAGAGGAATCTTAAGCTCCTTCTCTCAGTTGTGGCTGTGCCCCACCCCGTGGGACTGAGCTGAAGCTGTGCATCACCCACTGGGGCATTGATGTCTGGGCGCAGAAGCTGCTTGGCCAAGAAACTACTGTACATCCCAGGGCTGAGCTGATTTAGTAATCCGTGTCCCAGGTAAACAGCAGTGGCTGAGCTGAGACATCATGCCCTACTGGCTGACCAACTCTACCACCTGCTTCCCAGAGCTGGACAGTTACCCTAGAGACTGAGCTACTGAGATACCTTTTCCCCCGGGGAATGGAGTCAGCACTGTGCTGCTTTCTATCCCCCAAGGCCCAAAGGACAGCTGTATCCCACCATTCTGTGTCTTTCCTGCCACTGTACCTGACCTTGGAGACTGAAATATTGCCAAGTCCCACAGTTCCAGGAGCTAGAGTAACCACTATAAAATGCCTCACTCCCTGGGAACCAAGTGACAACCAATCCCCATTAGCTCTGGTTCCCAAATTGCAGCTGTACTCTGCTCCCCAGGCCCAAACCTCCAGATCACTCCTTCTTTCCCAGAGTTAGGCCAGTGCTTTGCACTGCCCCCAAGGGTCAAGGTTACCACTAAAACCTGGCCCACTGGGCCCAAGCTGCCAGGGGTGAAGGTGGGGCTCAGGGTCACAAGTCCTGGCACTGTGGGAAATCTACATCCAACCCTGCCACAGAGGGTGAGCCTGCACCCAAAGACCTAGGTGCCACTATAGGTTTATGAAGCACTGGGCCCAGGATTGCAGCTTCACAGCCATTTCAAGCACCAGCACCCGAAACCCAGCACTCCTGCAGCTGCTTGTAGGCTGGGTCAGATGCAACACCAGCAGTAATCCCCTCCATTGTAGGGAAAATGAGAATAGGAGGACCTCAAATGCCCTTGCCACTGAAGACTTTAACAGTCTACACTGTAACCTCTGCTGCCACAAATGACTATAGTCTATGTCACTGAGGCACCTGCAGTTATTGATGACATTGATTACAGCAGAAGAAGCTCCCTGCAGGCTATACCACTGCATCTATGGGGACTCAGAATCACCAGACCTTTCCCAACCAGCACACTAAGACCCAACTGCAGGTGAAAGACTCTGTCTTATGAAAGTCACTCTGTAAAGTAATCATTCTGACAGATGCA